CACTTTCTGTGTTGTATTGTACTTTATATGTGTTTTTCATGCCAACAAAATGATCAAATGCATTCAGTGGCACTCATGATTTCTCTTATTTTCACCGGAAAAAAATTGGCTAGTGGAAATTTTAAATGGCTGGTAACTTTAGAAAGTTACCAGCCACGTTGGCTGGTGATCAAAAAAGTTAATTTAGAACCCTGATTACGAGTAATTACGTAACGAGTAATTACGTAATTACATGTCGGTGAGAGGAACGCAAGCCTAAAGTGAATTATAATGAAGGAATTGGCAAGTTATTTTAATTTTAATTTTCATAATTTTTAATTAAATTTTAAGTATTTGGGCTTATTGTGTGAATTGGCCTTTAATCTAGCCTTTAATTGGCCTTTAAAGTCTTAGCTACATACTAATGTCAAACAAAGTCTGGTCTTATCTTAGCAACATACTCAAACAAACTCTGTTATTAGCTTAGCAACATACTAATGCTAAAATATACCCAGCCAACATTTGTATGTGGGGCCCATATGGGTATGAAATGGGCTGAAAAATGGGGCCCATGAAGGATTGTCTGCGGGTTACATAATGGCCCCATGTTAATTGCCCAGAATTTGATGTAGGATTGCACTTGGTACTAGGCTGGACCCAAGTGGGCAACATGCACAAGACCCATCTCGGTCCCAGCTTTAACCCAGCCGACATTTGTATGTGGGGCCCATGTGGGTTTAAAATGGGCTGAAAAATGGGCTTTGATTGGGATTGTCCACGGGTTACATAATGGCCCCATGTTAATTGCCCAGATGAATTTCATGTAGGATTGCACTTGGTACTAAGCCGGACCCAAGTGGGCAACATGCACAAGACCCATCTCGGTCCCAGCTTTAACCCAGCCGACATTTGTATGTGGGGCCCATGTGGGTTTAAAATGGGCTGAAAAATGGGCTTTGATTGAGATTGTCCACGGGTTACATAATGACCCCATGTTAATTGCCCAGATGAATTTCATGTAGGATTGCACTTGGTACTAAGCCGGACCCAAGTGGGCAACATGCACAAGACCCATCTCGGGCCCAGCTTTAACCCAGCCAAAATTTGTATGTGGGGCCCATATGGGTATGAAATGGGCTGAAAAATGGGCCCCATGAAGGATTATCCGCGGGTTACATAATGGCCCCATGTTAATTGCCCAGAATTTTATGTAGGATTGCACTTGGTACTAGGCCGACCCAAGTGGGCAACATGCACAAGACCCATCTCGGTCCCAGCTTTAACCCAGCCGACATTTGTATGTGGGGCCCATGTGGGTTTGAAATGGGCTGAAAAATGGGCTTTGATTGGGATTGTCCACGGGTTACATAATGGCCCCATGTTAATTGCCCAGATGAATTTCATGTAGGATTGCACTTGGTACTAAGCCGGACCCAAGTGGGCAACATGCACAAGACCCATCTCGGGCCCAGCTTTAACCCAGCCAAAATTTGTATGTGGGGCCCATATGGGTATGAAATGGGCTGAAAAATGGGCCCCATGAAGGATTGTCCGCGGGTTACATAATGGCCCCATGTTAATTGCCCAGAATTTTATGTAGGATTGCACTTGGTACTAGGCCGGACCCAAGTGGGCAACATGCACAAGACCCATCTCGGTCCCAGCTTTAACCCAGCCGACATTTGTATGTGGGGCCCATGTGGGTTTGAAATGGGCTGAAAAATGGGCTGAAAAATGGGCTTTGATTGGGATTGTCCACGGGTTACATAATGGCCCCATGTTAATTGCCCAGAATTTTATGTAGGATTGCACTTGGTACTAGGCTGGACCCAAGTGGGCAACATGCACAAGACCCATCTCGGGCCCAGCTTTAACCCAGCCGACATTTGTATGTGGGGCCCATGTGGGTTTGAAATGAAAAATGGGCTCTGTATGGGATTGTCCGTGGGTTCCATAATGGTCCCATGTAAATCGCCCAGGTGGATTTCATGTAGGATTGCACTTGGTACGAGGCGGGACCCAAGTGGGCAACATGCACAAGACCCATTTCGGTCCCAGCTGCCAATATTTGTATGTGGGGCCCCTGTGGGTTTAAAATGGGCTCTGTGTGGGATTGTCCACGGGTTCAATAATGGCCCCATGCCAACTGACCACATGGATTTCATATAGGATGGCACTTATAAACAGGTGGGCCCCAACTGGGCCACATGCACAAGACCCATCTTGGTCCCAGCTTTAGTTTTTTTGTGGGTACTACAAGGTTACTACATGGGCTGAAATACAGGCTGTAAGTGGGTTTGTCCATGGGTTCCATGCTGGCCCCAGCAACTTACTCATTTAAGTTTTATGCAGGATTTCACAGGGCTTTAGGTGGGGCCCAACTAGGAATCATCTGGGTTCCATCTAAATGAGTAGCAACACCACACAAACAAGTTTTAAAGCATTAGAGCACACAGTGAGATTGAAATCTTTTCAAATTTCAATTTTATTGAAATTACTCATCATATTATGCTATATTCTGAAATTCCAGAGACAATATTTAAAGAAGCAGATTTATGTCAGATTAAAGAGTATTTCTTTAATCTTATATACCTATTTGTTAAAATACATTTTGAACCTGTATTTGACCCAGTCTTTACTGAACATTTGAACAGGAAATAAATTGGGGACAGTTAGAAGAAGCAGCAACTATACATTTATCAGTACAGCTTACACTGCAGACAGTCATTTGCGCATTCTAGACACTGTCCTCCTCCATCTCTTGTTCTGGACTATTTTGAGAGTTCCCTCTCAGTTTCTTGCCAGTTGATCTGTGTAGTCTTCTGTGTAGTTTATCGTTTTTTGTAGTTTTTTTTTAGGGATCATGATTTTAGAGAAATCATGTTACTTACACATGTCACAATACCTTCTGACAGAATAACAATTTTTACTCAGGATAAAAAACAAAAACAGAAAAAAACTTGTATTGGAATAGTCCCGGTATTGGAATGTCACTGGAAGGGCATTTGGGAAATCAACAAAAACAGTTTATAAAGTATGAATATGCAATGTGTTTGAAAGCATCAAGTCATTCATTGATACAAGTTAACCATTAAAAAAATATATAAACAATAATAATAATAATAGGCCTACATTATTTGTCTCCAGAATTTTTTGTCATTTTAATATTAGGTAGTTTCTCACAATCAGATTCTCAGTCCATGATAGAATGGGACGACAAAATAATGCATAATAAAGTATAATGATTTATGATTGCTTTTAAAGTAAAATTAGGGATGCTCCGATCGATCGGCCGGAGATTAGGGTTAGGTTAGCGTTAGCTTAACCCGCATCCTAGGGGTATGACTTTCTTCTTTCAGACGAATGCAATCGGAGTTATATTAATAAACACCCTGACACTTCCGAGCTTTATAATGGCAGTGAATTGCAACCATTAGATTGAAGCTCAAAAAAGTGCATCCATCCATTAAGAACTCCACGCGGCTCCGGGGGGGTTAATAAAGGCCTTCTGAAGCAAAGCCATGAGTTTGTGTAAGAAAAATATTCATATTTAAAACTTTATTAAAGCTGCAGTCCGGCGTTTTTCCTCTTTGTCGCCATCTCTGTTCGAAATCTGCAATTGCAGTCATTCGCGGAATTATCAACTTTACGTGAGTTGTGCTTCAACACCCTCGACACGGCACAGCGCGGATGAACACAATGTTTGAGGAGACTGTGAGGCTGTCATTTACGTGGATACTGCCGATGTGGATACTGTCATTCAGAATCACAAATTATTCTTTTTGGAAGTATGACCAACATGAGAATTTTCACCGGAAAATGTCATCTGAACAAGTAAGAAACATCCACTTTTGTTCTGGTTCTGACATTGCAGTAAATCGCGCTGATTAAATCTAACAACCGCTTATAAGTTATCATATCACGCAAAACTGTGCAAATTATACTTTGTTCTCAAATTGTTAATGTTAACAACGTAAGCATTGCGTGACTACATGTAATGTCCTTCCGATATTATCCTTGTTTTCCCATGGGTCCGGTTGCAGTCTCTTCTTTCTGTAGCCACTCCGAAGTCCGAACGAAGTCTTTTGCATTTTACAGCGGGTGAATCTGTTGTCACTGGTGATTGTCGTTTGAACCTTTCTGGATCCGTCATCAAATTGATAAGTTTAATTATATCAAGTGCTGTGAGAAAAGGCTATAAATCTCCACCTCCAGCATCCTCACTGCAATATACTAGCCGAGACTCCTTCTTTATGTGTACAGATGTGACGTAATGACACAAAGACATGCTCGAATCTCCCGCGGAAATCCACCAGTACCACTGGAATTAAAAACATTATTACAAGCTTACCGCTTTGAATCGAGCTAAGGCAAGCAGATAGCTTTGAACACTGGCTGGTTATGCATTTTCTCAAATATGTATTTTGGATAATATTTAACCCAAAAAAAGCTACGGACTGCAGCTTTAAGTAAAATAACTAGCTTCCGGCCAAACGAACATACGGATTGCACTTAAGTGTAAAGCGCAACTTATGCGACGCACTGCTGATATTTACGCTACGCCATTATGCACTACGCTACTTGTGACGTCACAAGTTGTGTAAGTTGTGCTTTATATGCAAGTAGGCTGCTTATGGCCGTTTGGCCGGAAGCTAGTTATTTTACTTTAAAACGTTTTAAATATGGATATTTTTCAAACAGAAACTTTGCTTCAGAAGGCCTTTATTAACCCCCCGGAGCCGTGTGGAGTTTGTTTATGATGGATGGATACACTTTTTTGAGCTTCAAACTAATAGTTGCAATCCACAGCCATTACGGAGCTCGGAAGCGCCAGGGTGTTTATTAATATAACTCTGACTGTATTCGTCAGAAAGAAGAAAGTAATATACACCTAGGACGGCTTGAGGGTGAGTAAATCATGGGCTAACTACCCTAAGTAAATTATGTAAAATCTAATTTTGTAAATTGTATTAAATTATGTAAAATCAAAACACCTCAACAAGGTTAATAAATCCATACCGGAAGTGACAGTGCAGTGTAGTACATAAAGAACAATCCTTCACCAAATTGCCAGTACTCATCTGGATCCTTGGTCAGTGTGGGGTGGGGTGGGCTAATAAGTCCTTAAAAAGAAAGATTTAATTTTTACAATTCCTTTAAACAATATTAAACAAAACGTATATAAATTGTACCAACATTTGCCATTATAAAACATTCAGACAACATGAACAAATGGCCCCCAACAGCTCCCCGGGCGCGACTGCCCACTGCTCCGGGTGTGTGAGTGTGTGTGTGTGTTCAATACTCACTGCAGTGTGTGTGTGTGTGTGTGCACTTGAATGAATGAAATGAAGAGCACTAACTCCGAGTATGGGGACACCATACTTGGCTACATGTCACATCACATCACACAATTGTAGCTTTAAAAAAAAGAAAATTGGTACACCAAAATCAAACAAACCATCTAATAATTTTACCTGTAGCCTTATTTATCCTGTTATGACACGTCTGAGGGTCTTTCCCTTGATGCTCTTCCGTGAACTAAATAAAGGGCTGATGATGGTGACATGTTCTCCTTTCTTTGTCACTTTAGAGGAAGAAAGACAAAAGGATAAAAAAGTTACTCAGATTTGTCACTGGTAGAGGATATGACTTTTGATGATGAGTATAATACTTTTAACAACATAATATATTAATCCCAATGTAAGGTTTAGAAGCAGTGGTTAAAATTGACTTACATCTTAATGAAGTTGATAATCGTGGTGGATTTGTCTCTCTGTTGGGTGTCTGTTCTCCCCCCAAAAATCTTCTTCCAGTGCTTGATATATATATATATATATATATATAAAATAAAAGTAAACAAATCTCTTATCATTAGCAGTTACCAGTTTTTGAAGAGGTGATGTAAAAATACTCAGAAACGGGCATCTACAAAAACATAAGAGATTTAGACCAATAATATTTCTCAACTCTTCTGTAGATTCCAGTGTTTCAGAGAGTAAATGACTGTTTTATCAGTCACTTTACTCATTCGGACACTCCTTCCCTAGTAAAAAAATAAAAAAAAATAAAACCTATACCAAAATATATTTAAAACACATTTCATACTAATTATACTTCAAATCCATTAACATATTTATTGACACATCACCTAAGACTTTTCTTTATTACACAATGAACATTTTTTTATATTACGACAAAAAAATAAAATAATATATCACTATTAATAAAGTGTACCTAAAGTATACTTGCAATAGTTCCACTTTAGCACAATCAAATACACTTACTCAGCACTAACGTTACTTCCAGATAACTACCTTTACAGTCAATGGTTACGTTACACACACAGCTGCAGGTTGTAGTACGTCCGTTAGGCCTATCCGTTTATAAAACTCTTGTGTTTTTGGGAAGTTAATGAACTCCATTAACACAAGTTTTGTTTATCTGCATTATATATTCCACCATGAAACATATTAACACTCTCATCCACTTATTTTAATGTAATACCTAAACGAAAATATATATTAATGGATCTCAGTTTTTCTAAAATGATAGTGGATATATAGGACATGAACACGAAACATAGAGACTGAAAAATGTTCTCTAACCTGATATCGCCAATATGTTTGCAGGACCTCACACATCCAGTCCGACCTTCTTCTGTGTGTTCACATCAGCTTCTGTTCTCCTTCGTTTACATGTCACATCTCAAATTAGTTCAAAATAATAACAGGCTCTATGCACCATCGCTTCCGTGTTTTGTCTCAGCCCGCCCAGTTACATCCGGTGCTGCGTCGCAAGCCGTTTTTGCATTAGGTGGAGATAATGGCAAATTACACTCGCTGTTTAACGTGAATGATGTTAACAATATTGTGAGGCAGTTCGCTGTCACACATAAGAGTAAGAAAGAGAAGGGCATTCAATTATATATTTCGAGCTACATCGACAACTTTGAGGGTGAGTAATCTCTCATATCATGCGAAATCCGACTAGCGAATCAGTTTCTAAAATTGTTGTCTAGTTTCTGAGAAAAATAATTTTATTAAAGTTTGGCCGCTAGTACACTTCGCTATAGAACACGCTATGCGGAGGTAAAGACTCTGGCTGAGATTCTACCGGAAATACGTCAGCAGCGTTTGTGTATAGCCTATTGAACAGCAACAGCCATAAGGAAAGACTGAGTAATCTTGCTGAGCAGTACACACGTCGTCATCAACTCAAACCCATAGATATCCATAATAAAGGCTAGATGTCTTACGGCGGAGTCTCTATCGTCATCACCGGCGGCCATCTTGTCACAGGCAAGCTTTCTGGCGGGCTCTGTGGTGCCTGATGTAAGATGAGTGATCAGCACGAACACAAATACTCTTATCTATAATTCTGGATGATTATTTATTTATACACTTATTATTCATAAGTATGCAGTGTCATAACTACATCTCTGACGTTTGAAAATCGGAAGAAAATTGAGCAAGTTATGGTTATTTAAAAAGTACATGCACCATTAAAACACAATGTTACGAGTGAACGAGCTGCCTGTGACAAGATGGCCGCCAGGTGCGGACGTCGACCTCCATCGGCCAGCAGCGCGGACGAGACATCTAGCCTTTATTATGGATATCTATGGTCAAACCGATGTATTTTCATTTTTCAAACATGACCAGTAAAAAAAAAGGCGCACACAGTTGTCATTGGCTAGTTACATATGACAGTCAGATTAACCAATCATGATCAAAGAAGGTGAAACAACCAATTGTTTCAGTGGTAATGAAAAAGATGACTTTTCTTTCTTTTTTCTTTTTTTTAAAGAAATGTGTGTTTAGTTTTATTTGTAGACTATATTATTTGTTTAGTGTTTTTATGAAAGTGTGTGAATAAAAATGCAATCCTGCAAGGTAAACTTTAGGCACACACACAAAATTGTAAACCCAAAAAAAAAAAAAAAAAAAAGCAAAAAAGTTTCTTCTGCACTTCTCTGTTGAGATTGAAATTATATCCATTATTATTATTGTTAATAATATAATGATTCTATTTTAACACAAATTTAGATTTTTGAAGTGGTGTTTTGATCAAAATATCATTTCACGAGTTCACACTTACATCAATTAAACAGAGTAAAGATTATGCGTATTTGGCGTGCTGTCCGGGGGGAGGGCTCCAGGCTCGGAATTTTGCCCGAACCCAGAGTACTCCCCCCGTTGTTGTAAGAGTATTAGGACTATAAGTGAGGAGATGGGGTGGTGGAGGGATGCTGTTAAACTGTCAATGAACGGAGGTAAGTTTGCTGTATATATACACACAGCGCTTAACTCGTTGATTAAGCACCACTCGTGTCTAATTAGGTTTGATTATCTAAATGTGCTCCACATGTGTTTAATTAGGTTTAATTATCTGAACGTGCTCCTCCCGAACTTTGTTAATAAAACATCATACAATGCTAAAATCATATTTAGAAATAATAATAATTCAAAGGTTATGTATTTCTTGAAGACATGACATTGATTCAGCATATAGATTTTGTAAAAAAAAAAAAAAAAAAAAAAAAACTTTTCAACTGTTTTGCATTAAACGTTATATTAAATGTTACATTGTGTACATTCTGTACTCCTGTATATGCTGCAAGTATGATTTCTGAGTTTACATTGGATTTCCCCTTCAAACCCTGATTTTACATTCTAACTTACTTTACTTGGGCTATTTCATCATCTGGACTGATGTGCCCCTTTCAATAATCAAAACCCTAACCCCAATATTTAAAATATCTAGAATTACATTGTCACTAACCGACTGACCAGAAAACCAGAGTTTTTCCATTGAATACGGGCATATGGCTGTTGCTAGGGGTTTGATTTCTTCTACCCATCTCTAAGCCATGATAATTCCATTATTTTGATAGATATCAATTAGCTTCTGTAACCCGTTCTTCATATTGTACAGTGACCATTTTCTGGAAATTTTTGAACCATTTGTATACATTTTAAAATAACTATATTGAGATAAGCATTTTGCAGTAACTCACAAAATCAGACCACTAAAAGTTGACACTTAATATTTAAAGGGTTAGTTCACCCAAAAATGAAAATTATGTCATTGTCCTTGTCCAGAAAGGAAATAAAGACATCATCAAAGTAGTCCATGTGACATCAGTGGGTTAGTTAGAATGTTTTGAAGCATCGAAAATACAGTTTGGTCCAAAAATAACAAAAACTACGACTTTATTCAGCATTGTATTGTCTTCCGGTTCTGTTGTCGATCCGCGTTCAGTGATGCTGATGACGTGTGTCTGGTGCGCCCGAGCTTCGTTCACAGTCTAAGCGAGACGCACGCTGTAAACAAAACAATCTTCGCAAACATACAGAGGAAGACTTGCATTTATTTACCCATGAAGTAATTTACAGATGCACAATTTATATTTATTACATAATTCATTATATTCACAATTATACTCGTATACGTATATTTCCACATTCAGGATATAGAGATTACTTATGTTATGTGGGAACTACCTTGGGCCCATGTAGCCTATATGGGACTGATTGTGTTTGCCCATGTCTGACCCATATGGTTTATCAAAGTGGGCCCCATATGTATTTCCCCATTCATAAAACATATACAGAGATTACCTATGTGGGAACTACCTTGGGCCCATGTAGGTAAACTATATGGGACTGATTGTGTTTGCCTATGTCTGACCCATATGCGTAATCAAAGTGGGCCCCATATGTTTTTCCCATTCATATCCCATTTAGAGATTACCTGTTTGGGTACTACCTTGGGCCAATGTAGTCAGGCTATATGGGACTGATTGTGTTTGTAGGATCCACATGATTTGGCCAAGCGGGCCCCATATGTATTTACCCATTCAGAACCCAAATAGAGATTACCTATGTGGGTACAACCTTTTGCTCATGTAGGCAGCCTATATGGGATTGATTGTGTTTGCCAATGTCTGACCCATTTGGTTTATTAAAGTGGGCCCCATATGTTTTTCCCATTCATAACCCATATAGAGATTACCTATGTGGGAACTACCTTGGGCCCATGTAGGCAGTGTTGGAGAATTTCATATTTCATCTGTCTTATACATGAGTCTGAATGCTGTAATTCCAAGCAGAAAAACTAGGTCACAGGGCATGTGAGGATAGGGCACACGAGGACAGGGACAAGAGAGTGGAAAAGTACCCAAAAAACTTGTAGTAGAGATGCAGGTGTTGGTAAGCACTGGAAGAGAAACATATTATATAGAATGTAACGATGTGCCACCAAGAAAAGGATGATAATACAAATGCCCATTGTGTAAAAAGATAATAATACAAACGCTAATTGGACACCAAGTGATAAGAAAAAGGTTTAAGACTTGAGTGCAAACCATTGCAAGTCAGATGGCCAGCTGCCATCTCACTTGGTTGCTTGTCAATAAATTTAATTCTTCTGAGACCTGAAACTTCGACTCTGAAAGATTTCTTTGAGACCTGAACCAGACTTTGAAGACCTGAACCAAAGATCGTGAATTTGCCACGACAGCAGCCTATATGGGACTGATTGTGTTTGCCCATGTCTGACCCATAGTTTGGCCCCATGTGTATTGCCCCATTCAAAACCCATGTAGAGATTACCTATGTTGGCACTACCTTGGGCCTAGGTAGCCTATATGGGATTGATTGTGTTTGCCCATGTCTGATCCATATAGTTTGGCCAAGCGGGTCCCATAAGTATTGCCCCATTCAAAACCCATATAGAGATTACCTACGTGGGATGTATACGTAGAATCCACATTTGACTGCTCCACACACGCCAGTGCGCCCGCCATCTTGCAACAGTCAGTG